GGCGAGCTGCTGCCACCCCACTGCCAGGGCCCAGGAACGTAGGGACCGTGTCCACGGAGGGTCACCGAGCAGCTAACGCGGTGCAGCTTCAGGAGCTTCTCCGGCCTTGGATTGGAGGAGAAACCTCCGCAACCCCAGGGCTCGCTGGGGAGGCTCAGAACGAGGTCCACCCCGTGCCCCAGGGGAGCGGTGTGTTGGGCCTGTGGCTCCCCGGCTGTGCCTCCCTCTGATGGTGCCTGTCCAGCTCCAGCTGACCTAAGCCTGTGCCCCACTGCGCCACTGTCCTTAGCATCTGCCAGTGATTTCCACTTCCTGCTGTGGCCACGGCCGGAATGTCACAGCCACCTCCTGCCTGCTGCCAGGACCCTCCCCTGCCTCTGCTATTTTTGGGCTCAGTGCTGCAGGCTGTGTTTTGGAAGAAGCAGATTATCTGCTTGGCAGAGTCAGCCAAGGGGATGCAAGTTCCCAGACACAAACCTGGAGACACAGTGGAGACTCCCAGGCTGCGGGAGACCACGCGTGTGTCTGTTCCCGACGGGCCGCACACTTAGGGCCCACACAGCCAGGGCCCAGCCCATGGCCCAAGGGTGGAGCCTGTGGTCACACCGCTCCGCAGCTGTCTCTCATGCCGCCCAAAGCCTGATGGAGCAGTGCTGGCTTGTGGCCCAGCAGGGACCTGGAGGGACAAGCGCAACCCTTGCAGGAACCCTTGTCCCGGAAGTGGCTCAGAGCCATGGGCAGGTGGAAGGGGAGACCTGGGCTCTCCCCACCTCCCGCCTGGCCTGCACCCGCCGGTCCTGCACTGAGCAGCAGGCTCCGTTCACAGACAGACATGCCGAGGGTCGCTCACCCCCTCGGACGGGAGGAGCGCCCAAGCGTTCTTATTTCCCATGGTGACACCACCCTCATCCTGCCTCCATATTCTCCTCAAAACATTCTCTTGGCTCTTCCCCTTCAGGAGGTATTAGGGGGCCTCAAAGAAAAAATGAATGCAGGGGGCTATTGCAGGTCTGCAGTCCCAGCTACCTGGGAGACAGTCAAGAAGATTGCTTGAGCCCAGCAGTTCAGGGCCAGCCAGGCAAATATAACAAAACCCGATCTCTTTAAAAAAAAAAAAAAAAAGGAAGAAAGAAAATGAATGCAAATTATAGATGCAAGATTAGGTACCAGAGTGGTTATTTATTTAGAATGAGGATGCAAACAAATGACTAATTTGTAAGAGGTGACAAAGCACCTCCAAACATAAAATGCAGAGGAAAATCCCTTCTCTCACAGAAGCCTGCGGTTTAGTGGCCCACTGTGGCCAGGTCGGGTGGGGTTGGTAAAAGACCCAGTGCAGTGTGAACAGCCGGGGACCAGCGCCCGCTTGTGGGGCTGGGGGTGGTGGGCTGCCTGTTTCACTTCCACATCCCACACTGGAGTGGCCGCTTTGGGGTCCAACCCCTCGTTCCCTCGGGGCCCCAGAAGTGTGCTTCCCTCAGAAGCACAGGCGTCAGCCTTCAGACTGGCCTAACGCCACCCCCTTCCCCTCCAGATGTGGGCTCAGCTGTATTTTTAGAACAGCCCACCCCTTGGACATTCTTTCCTTCTAATTAAGATGACTTCAAATCTCCCCTCCTCAATCAGCCCTGTTGTTCAATCCTCAAATATCAAAGGGTGGCCAGGAGGCACTGCCTCAGCTGGTTGTGGGCTTGGATTTGTTTTCTTTCTCTTTTAAACCATTAAGTTGAAAATGAGACCCAGAACCCGAGTGAGGGAATGCCAGCTCTGAGGACGGCGAAGCATGCTTTTGGTAGAGTTTGTAGGAGCTGTCTCGTTTGCCCTGCACACCCCAGTCCCCCAAGGTTCGGGTCTGTCTGGGACAAGTGTGGGGATCACATCAGCATCCGTCCCATGTCCTGTGTCTGCTCTCGGGATGCTCAGTCCAGGCACACAGGGCCCTGATGGCCCTGCATTTGTGCAGTGGGTCCACTGAGAGGTGACCCCACCTTGCAGGTGAGCAGATGGGAGGCTGGAGAGGTGAGGTGTACCTGTCAGGACAGCAGGAGCCCCACTGGTGTCAGCCTCAACCAGTCCTGTGGCTTTTTGCTGCTCCTGAAGGTGTTTCACTGCCTGCCCTGGTGTTCAAAGTCAGCAGGACCCCCCCAAAGCTCCACCCTGCTGCCAGTCCACATGGGGGCAGTCAGGGAGGCTGCAGGGAGTGGGGACTTGAACACCTGAAGCGACGGGCCACACCCACCCTAACACTTCCTCCACACCAGTGTCCAAGACAGAGGAGGAAACTGAGGCTCAGAGAGCCGAGAGCCTGGAGGCTACTCAGCCCATACTGACCACTGGCTAGGTAGCCACCTCACCCCTCGTCTGCAGTGAGGTCATCACTCACCCCTCCTGAAGGACCAGCGTTGCTAGGCTGATCCCTGGAGGAGATGCCAGGGTCCTGGGTCCCGGACTCCAAGTTGCAAGGGACCAGCCAGACCCCCCCGGGATGCGGGCAGAGGCAGGGTGGGGGTGATGCCAGGCTTCTCAGTTCCTGGCCAGGGCTCCGAGCCACCTGGCATCTGGAAGGACGAATGGGGACAGAGGAGGTGAAATTGACCCGGGGCGGGTGGGGCAGGGGCGCTCCCTCAAAGCGCCTCCCCACCTAGTGGTGGACAGAGAAAGCTCTTTCTGTTTTTGTACTGGGAACTGTACTCACACTGAGCTACATCCCCACCCCTATTTATTCTTTATTTTGAAGCAGAGTCTCGCTAAATTGCCCAGTCAGGATTGGAATTTAGGATCCTTTAGCATCTCAGAGCGCGGGGATCACAGGCGCGCTCCACTCTGCCCTCTGTTAATCACCGGGCCTTCCTGAGCTGGCAAGCTCGGCGGGCGGAGGACTGCAGAGCGCGGGCTCTGTCGCCCCCTCGCGGCCACAGGTTGTCCCCGCGGCAGTGGGTCCCCGCAGACGGGTAAACCAGTGTAGGGTCCCGAATTTCGGGACACTCCTCACTGGGGCCAGAGGTTCCCAGACCCAGGTAACGAGCAGGGCCATTTCCAGAAACAAGTGCAGGTCGGGCAGGCCGCGCCCCGATCCCTGAGGGTGCTGGTGGGCTCCCGGGCGGGATGCAGCCTAAGTGGGTGTCAGTGACACCAGCCGACTCCGCTGGATTATTTTCTCCCTCTCCATTTCCTGCTGTGAGCAGGGAGCAGATCCCTGCCTGCTCTGGGCCTCAGTTTACCCATCCGTAGAGTAAGGGGCCCTATCGTGCAGGAAAGGTGTCCCATCTCCCCCTTCTTGCCGGGAAACGGAGAGGGCACCGAGCAGATGAGGGAAGCCTAGGGCTGCTAGGGTCAGGGCATGTTCTCCCCACCCCCACCCCCACCCCGCTTGCAGTCTGGCCTCAATTTAGGGCGAGGTTAGCGGGACCCCGGACCCATAAGGTCAGCCAGCCTGGACTTGACAACCTGACGAAGGGACAGGCAGTTGTAGGGGTGGTGAGGGCAGTGCATGACCTTCCAGAGCCCCAGTCGGGCCTCACCGGAAAAGGAGGCAAAGCCACCCACGTATGGGTTGTGAGATGGTCAGCAGTCAGCACCCAGGGCTCCTGGGATGGACGCCAGCGCCTGAGTGCAAGAAATACAGCTGGAGCTTTCAGTACTAAATCTTAACTCCCAGTTAATGTTTACTAAGGCAAAACTTTGAGCTTCCTGGCTAAAGGATAATCTTACTTAGTGACTGGTGAATTTATGAGCACACTGGAGGCTCTGACTCTGGCCGGGTGGGCAGGGTTTAGGTCATCCGAGCGAAATTTCAGGGACAGCCAGGAGGGAACCAGTTCGAATTTTGTACTGAAACGAATGGCTGTCTTCAAGCTTTTACTATATAACCCATGTATGCTTACGTGACGTGTTTCCAAACAATATAAATGCAATATTGTGTATTGCAATATAGTGTATGTGTTCTGCAACTCTGCTTACCCGAAACTGTGATTCAACCTCTGAACTTCCTCTAGTCCACGGAGTAGTGGTGTCCTCACGTACCACCATTTCTCTTCTTTTTGGTTGTGTTGGGGCTTGAACCTGGGCTGTGGATCTGTACACGTGCTCTACCACGCACTGCACCTGCAGCTGCTCGCTACATGTTCTTGATGCTTGACATTTGGGTTGTCTCGTTTTCTGCAGCTGTGAACAGTTCTTGAGCATGAGGTAAAGAGATTCTCTGAGGCTGCCCAAGGGAGAGTGCACACATTTGTAATCCGGCGCTCTGGGAAGCTGAGGCAAGAGGTTCACAAGTTCAAGCCCAACCTGGGCAACTTGGCGAGACCTTGTCTCAAAATTTATAAAAGGGCTGGGAACATCATTAAGTGTGAAGGCCCAGGGTTCAGTCCCCAGGACTACACACATGTGCACGTGCGTGCACACACACACACACACACAGTTCCTGAGGCAAACCCAGGAAGTGCTGGCATTGCTGAGTCGAGCAGTATTTCAATTTGGATTTACAAAAGGTGTGCAAACTGCTCTCAAAGCATCATTGCACCAGTGTACATTTTCAGCAACAATACACGAGCCCTGGAACTGAGCCTCCTCAACACTTGGCATTGCCACAATTAAACTTACTGTGAGGCGTGTGAAACAATACACTGTTGTCAATATTGGGTTTTGATTTTTTTTAAGCTGGGTCTCACTATGTAGTTCAGGCTGGCCTTGAACTTGCTGTAATCCTCCTGCCTCAGCCTCCCAAGTGCTGGGATTACAGGTGTGCGCCATCATGCCCGGCCACCGTTGTGGATTTAAGGGTAGTAAGACAGGTGAGCTTCTGTATTATTTAGCTCAGTGGTTCCACCACCTGCCTCAAGAGTGCAAGGTCCTGAGTTCATCCCCGGTACCAAACAAAAGTATAGTATTTCTAGAAGCTATTGTTTGACTGATTGATCGAGACAGGGTCTCACTATGTCTACCCTGGAACTCACTGTGTAGCCCAGGCCGGTCTCAAACTCACAGCGATCCTCCTGCCTCAGCCTCCCAAGTGCTGGGATTGCAGGCGTGCGCCACCACGCCCGGCTTCTAGGAGTTAAAGATCAGAGCAGCAAACATCTGACACCAAAGCATGAACAGAAATACTGTCGTGCCTGTTCTGCCCGACCTGGTCTACGCTCATGAAGACTTCAGAACGTCATGTTCAGCTGTTTCTGGGACCACAAACAGCCACTCTGTACTTTGCCCAACTTCTGGATTCTGCCAGGCCTGAGAGCCTTGAAGAAAAAGAGTGATCCGCCGGGATGGACTGTGGCTCCAGGCTCCCAAGGGCTCCCGGAACTCTGGCCAGGGCGGGCTCTCACTCCAGGGTTCCCGGAGCTGCAACCCGAGCCCAGTTCTCCGCGCGTTCCGCCGGGGACCGGCACCGGGGGGCGCTCCAGGTACTGGTGGGTTTGTCTCCGGCGCCCCCAGCCGGGCTCCTCCTCCTCCTCGGGGACCCACGGACCGCGACTTGGGTGTCGGGAACCCGGGGCTCGG